ATTATTATTATTATTATTATTATTATTATTATTATTATTATTATTATGGTAAATGGTAATGGTAAATGGAGCTTACTTCTATAGCGCCTTCCAGCCCCCTATGAGGGGCCCCAAGGCGCTTTACAGTACCAGCCATCCACCCATTCACACGCACATTCATACACCGGTGGCGGTAGGCTGCCATGCAAGGCGCCATCCAGTCCCACCGGGAGCAACTCGGGGTTAAGTGTCTTGCCCAGGGACACAACGGCACATGGTGTGGGAAGTCGGGATTCGAACCTCCAACCTTCCGATCAGAGGTCGGCTGCCACTACCACTGCACCACGGCCGCCCATTATTATTATTATTATTTATTATTATTATTATTGTTATTATTATTATTATTATTATTATTATTATTATTTTTTTTTATTATTATTATTATTATTATTATTATTATTATTATTATTATTATTATTATTATTATTTATTATTATTTTAACTACAATACAACAAACTCCTCATGTAAATGTTTTATTTTAAGCTTGTCCTGATCACCTTTTATTAACACTGTTTTGTTAACTTATTGTGTAAATAAAGTTTTGTTAAAAATCAAAAAATCTTCTTCTTCTTCTTGTTCTTGTTCTGAGAGGAGGGTGCGTGGAGGAGCGGAGGAAGAGCGAGTGTGAGAATAGTTGTTTATTCTATATCTGTGACTTTTCTTTCTCACAGTTTTCTCACTGGGTGTTAATGTTATTTGTTTAAAATGTGATTTTGTGTCAGTCTCGCCACGTTTTAAGGGTTTTATTTTTGGTTTGGGTGTGGCCGTCAGGTGCACCTGGCTGGCCGGCGTCTAGACGCCATGGTGGTGGAGAGCACTGGGAACTTCTCCGCGCTGACACGTAAGAACGGCATCAAGGTGGTGCTGGTTCTTCGTGCAGCGTGGAGGAAGTTTGTTTGGCGGTGGGGGAGGTGGTTGGACACGGGTCCATCAAGTCCGCAGCCCGCATGAACGGGGCTGTAGTGATTTTTGTTGATACCGTGGAGAAAGCTCGGCAGCTGGTCGAGGCTGGCGTCTCAGTGGGAGACTTGTTTTTGCAGGTGTCACCACTGGTGCTGCCAGCCTCCAAGATAACTCTGTCTAATGTCCCCCCGCTTGTTAGTGACGAGTTTCTAATCAAGGAACTGGCCAGACACGGGAAGGTGGTGTCCCCGATCAAAAAAATCTTGACGGGGTGTAGATCACCCCTTCTCAAACACGTCGTCTCTCACAGGAGACAACTGTTCATGATCCTGAACAAACGGGGGGAAGAGTCTAACTTCAGGTTTCATGTCAAACTGGATGATTTTGATTATCTTTTGTTCGCTACTTCAGCGAACATGAAATGTTTTGGATGTGGCCAAGAGGGGCACGTAATTAAAACGTGCCCAAACAGAGCCCGGCCGGTTCCGCCCGCTGCTGCGGAGGACCCCCCGGCTCCCGCCGGTCCCCCTCCCGCTGCTGCTGCGGGGGGGTCCAATGCTGTTTCTGCCGCTGGTCCCCTCCCACTGCTGCTGCGGGGGGGTCCAATGCTGTTGCTGCCGCTGGTCCCCCTCCCGCCGCTGCTGCGGGGGTTCCACAGCCCCCGCTGACGGGGTTTGTATTAATGTTGCTGTTTAATACACCATATTATTTTACATTATCATTGTTTAGTGTATATCTTAGAACCTTGTGTTCTGTTTTGGTTTTTTTTACTTTATATTTTTGCTATTTTTGGGTGTAACTGGGACTTTGTGTACACGATGTCATTCCAGCTCATATACCACATTTGATGAGAACGATGTAGGGGAATACATGTACAGGATATTGGACTTCTGGTCCGGTCAAACCCGTACCCTTTAACAGGTTTTACTCTGGACCGGCCTCACCTCAAACATATATCAACCATGAGTTCTTGTAACGAACTTAATTCCTGTCCCTCGAAGAAAACACGAAGAATCCGTAATTTAAGTACAGTTCTGTAATGTTTATTTTCAGTTTGAATCGTGACATGGAAATTATGGCAAATATTGAATATGAATATGAACCAATAATATTATTTTAGAAAGTAAATGGCATACATCTGAGGACTTTGAGAAGGGGTTTTGATTCAATTTGGACTAAGGTCTAGCTCTTAACGTTAAAATTTAGGTACGTTTATCTCAGATTCATGAATTAAATTATCTAAACAAACTCAGTTGGCACTGTTCAGTGGTCCTCTCATCAGAAGGAAGATGTTCATCTCTCATTACCACAGCGGATGCATGAAGGAAGCCGGTGGCTCGCTGTCCCAAGAAGGATGTAATTTCTCAGGGCTGCGGTTTGTTCGGCTCATACCTTTAGCTCCAGGGTGTTTGAGGTTTTTCAGGATGTCCACCATCTCTCAGCTGGACACGTCTTCCATCATATGGCTGTTGTTTCTCAGAGAGTCTCATCAACTCTCCACAACCACTCATTCCATCTGCTCAGCTCAGCTGATGATCCCAAGCCAACCTTTAAAGTCTCGCTGTACATATTCTCTGATGGAAACTCCAAAACAGCCGAATTGATCCTTTACTCCAAAGTCGAGCTCACAGCTTCTCCAGATTATTCCACCATTCATGAGTGCTGCCAGGGAGATCACAGTCCTGATAACAGCTGCTCCAATTCCCTGTCACAGCTCCACATTCAGTCCGAGCACTGTCAAGCTTCAACACCTCCACACGAATTTGTAGACAACCAGATTCCACCAACCAAACAGTAGAATCTAGTCGTCATCATGAATCCAATTTGTCCTTTAGAGTTCAGAGGGTCCTCCTTACCCTGACTCCTGTCAGGAGAAGTTGATCGATTTTGTCGAGAGACCAGCTGATCCTTCCAATTAAGAGGTATGCAGGAAAAAAAAGAGGCTTTTTAAGGTTCACAGGACAAAAGAGCTCAGCAGGGAAGCGGGTGGTGGTGGTGGGGGGGGGGGTGTAGGGAAAAAAACACGTCTGGTTTCACCGTAGAGTAGCAAGAAAAAGTAGTTGGCTTCAGGAGTCTCAAAGTCTGGTGACAGCATAGAAGGTGAATTACACGAAGAGGGTCCAGAATCATGCAACATGTCATGGTGGTCCCAACTGTAGATTTTAACACACACAGAGGTGGTTAACGAAGAAACTTCCTGTGTCAGAGCAGGATGCCAGTATCTGTCCCAGATTAGCAGGAAAGGAGGTTGTAGGGTAGACGTGGTGTCTCTGAGGACATTTGTCTTAAGTTTCTTGGAAGGATGGATGCTACAACGACAATAAAAAACTTGAACTTTCTTCTTGTCCTTGTTCTTCTTTTTGGCAGAATTGGTAGAGTTCGTTTAAACTGGTTGGTTTCGTGCACCAGCACATTTTGTGTCGTGTTGAGGTTTAGGCTTTATGAAGTCCGCTCCAGACGTCGACAGTCAGCCTGATTGTTCCAGTCAGAAACTTCTTCTGAGTCTTTATATGAAAGTGATTATTCTGAAATCTGAAGGACTCGAAAAGACGTTCCCAACATGACCACTAACAGAAAGCTCCAATTACTATTATTATTATTATTATTATTATTGTTGTTGTTGTTATTGTTGTTGTTGTTGTTGTTGTTGTTGTTGTTGTTGTTGTTGTTGTTGTT